TCTCTACTGCGCTTAAACCCTTGAACACTTCCGAAGTCCACGTGGTAAATTCTCATGCCACCTTCTGTATTTGTGACTGCAGAAAGAACTACTGTGTCGAAATCAGTACAACTTCATGCCAAGAATCTAAAAATGCTTTGGGTATAAATTTACGACTTACGTTCTGAAATTGTGATTTCGTACCCCGTTAAGATTTGTCATAATGCTAAGTTTAAGCCAGCAACTTTCTGCCCATCTCTATTTAAAAAAATAGTTGATTCTATTTTTGGTGGAGATCGGGGGCCTCCTGTTAAAGAGACCTGAGTGCCATTTGTGGCTCTAACTTATTTGATAGGACCTTCGGAAAATTAATCTCTTAGTTGCACCCTTTGCACAATGGGAGTAATAACTGCCTTGCAGAGATGTGAGGATTAAATGGTATTTAATTTGTGGTCAAAAAGTCGTATCTGTTATTAATCAACGGATGCTTTTGAGTGAACATATAGTGGTGTTTTACCTATCTCATATAATCTAAAGTTTTCCACATCTTTAATTATTTAAGAAACATAGTTCCCAACCGTTTTGGACTTGTCCACAAGATAATTTGATTTCAGGATATTAAGTGTATGTGGAAGTATGCTGTGTGGTACATTCTTAAAAGTGCAGGAAGTAACAATTACATAGGAGAAACTTCAGAGTCCTCAGAAGTAATTGACAGCACACTGTGGATTGAAATTACTTACAAAAATCAAACTCTTCTTGAGTATTCCTTTACTGCTTAGTGTGCACTAAGTTGTTAAAGGATTTAAAAGTTAAAATGCAGCTGTTTAATGTTTTCAGACAAAATTTTGCATGAGATATCTATTTGACTTTGGTTCTTCATAGTAAGAAATGTTGGTGCTGCAGGAACTTTATCAGCTTATAATATTCAGAATTAATTCCAGAATTATCGGAATTAATAAACCTAAAGGAATTTTTTTTTTTGGTGAATATCTGTGGATTTATTGAAGTTATGCAGTGACTTCCACAGTGCCACTGAAATATTTATGTTCTACAAGGTTTGTATAGCTTTTTAGGCACTTTGTGCGTACAGTATCGTAGAGCTAATATTGTATTCGTATAGATTCTTAACTCTATTTGCTGCTTTCAAGTTTATTTCCAGGGGAATGTGTTAAGTTATATGAATTATAAATACATTTCTAGAACTGTATTTTCTGAAGCCTCATTGTAACAGAGAGAGGCTTCAGCTTATTGTTGCTGTTTTTATAAAGGTAATTTTTGTTGCCATTTATATAAATATGAAAACTGACATTGTTAACCTGGGGCAAGAAATGAAAACATTTATTTTGTGATATGACTTGTAGGCTTTCGTTTTAATGGCTTTAAATTTCACAGATGTTTCTCAAGCCAGTAGTATTTTAATTTCATTTTATAGTGGTTTTCTAGTTAATATTTATTTTTGATACAGTACTTGAGAGTAGAATTCCAGTAAGAAAAGAAACAATAAAAGTTATATAGTATAGGGAGACTTTTAAGTGTTCTGTTTCTAATTTGTTGTGAAAACTAAATACCCAAATATATTAGAAATACATCTAAAACGAAGGGAAAAAATAGGATTTTAGTGAGGCCTGTAGGAAGATCTACATAAAATTAACAGATTTTGGTGTCTGAGAGCTCGTATTTTGGCTGCTCAAAGGTTTGTCCTTGTTTGATTTTTACCTGGAAGGAACTAAGGAAATTAAGTAATTAGAGGTGGCCCATACAGAAACTCTTGTGAGCTTGAGATGAACAGGAGCAAAAATGAGTGAGAGAGAAGACTGAAAGATAAGAGGAGTCAGGGGAATGATCCATTTGTTGAACGAGTAAATGTTTAGTAAGCTTTGACTGACAGGACCGGAGGAGTTCAGGGACGTGTGGGACATGGTCTGGGTCTTCTGGAAGCCTTATTGACGTAGCTGGAGCTCACTGGCCATAGAGTAGATGTACCGAGTGGAAAAAGCAAGCCGATTTGTTTTTAAAGTGTTTGTATTCCTTTAGTTTTTGAATGTTCAAAGTCCTCCCCACCTTTTTTTTTTAACTAGCAAAACTTTCTTAACACTTACTAGCCATTTTGTACCGTTTATTTGACCATTACCATGCACTGCCTTTAGTGTTAACTGTTGGAAAGTAGTCATTTTATTATTCCAATAGTAATGCATCTCCTCTTCTGTTCAAATTCTAGAGAAACAAAATGAGATGGTAGTATGTGTGGGATGGGGAGACCATTGCTAAAGGAATATTCTTCATTGTGTGAGGTTCTATATTAAATAGATAGTTTACTGTAAAACAATGTAGGAGGAATTTAAATAATCTATATGTCTAATAAAGCATTTAGAGAGGTGTAATAGACTGCTGCTCCTTTAAATTCTTAAAAATTGTGAAGTTTCTTGGTGTGATGGACATTTAGTGGCAAGTGGAAGATACTGTTTTTAAGCTTAGATCCAAAGTCACTTAGTTTTTCGTTTTGCTGTTACTTAAACTCATTAATTAAGAACAAATGAATTAAAGAACAAAATTGAGATAATTGTAGTACAGTGCAGATTTTATTGTATCACTGAAAATGCTGACAGAAAGAGTATGTGGTATACAGTTAATCCTTCAATCTGCTAATCCTTGCTACTGTTATGTGCTTTTATAACTGAAAAAAAAACCCAACAGTAAATTTGAGATAAGAGTTTAAATGCACAAGCTGAAATGTGATCATACTACTATGTAAGTGACATCAAAGCTGTGTATATACACTGGAAAGTTTTTGATAAGAGAATTGTAGAGATACAGTAGTTTTAATTAATATAAACAACATATTTAGTGTGGTATACAATAGTCTGCAAAGAATGACCTCGTTTTGTGGTTTATCTGTGTAATATTGGTGATTATGCTATAAAATACTGCTTTAGTACTTGTTCTTTATACAGTATTTGCTACTCATCATTTATTACCGAGTTATTCCTATTGTGGTTTATTGTATTTTAGTATAGTTGTGCTGGAGATGGTGTTTTATAGAAGCTTCCTAGATTATTGAAACATTAAGCGGTAAATGTATTAACATACTATATCATGTAGGTGAAATTAAGGTTTCTTGGCATAATGATATTGGTAGAACAAAACACGAGAAGTACCTGTGAGATCTGGTATGGTTTCTGCTAGGCTTTTGCTCTTTCTATGCCTGGCACACAGTAGGCATTTAATAAAGATCTTTTGAATGAATTGAATGCATTCTTTTGGTGAATTGTCAAGTCAGTGATCCCTCAATGTTTGCGTGTTGATTCATTTATTTAATACTGATTGAGTACTTATTAAATGTCAGGTCCTGCTGTCATGGTGCGTACGTTCTAGTGGAATAAATCAGTCAAAAAACAAATTTTAAAAATGAGATAATGGTAAGTGCTTTGTAGAGAATTGAAATAGGGTGAGGTAATGTGATAGTGCATGACTGGGTGGCTACTTTTAAATTGGCCACAGGAGGCCTTTTTGAATAAGGTGACATTTAAACTGAGATCTGAGTAATAATAAGTACTCTGAGAAGGTGGGGAATTTTTTCTTTAGGGAAAGCCCTTTAAGAGTGTGTTTTGGCAATCAAAAAAGGCCTGTATTGTGGATCTAGGAGGCAAGAGGAAGAGGGATAAGAGATTAGAGAGTTGGGCAAGGGGCTAGAGCCTGCAGAGCTTTGTAGTAAGCTGGGGGTTTTCAAGGTAAAATAGGAAGCTTTGTGGGATTTTAAGCAGAAGGGGAAATGATATCTTTTATGATTTGGAAAGGTTACCCTGCCTGCTGTATGGAGCACGGAGAGTAGAGACGAGCAAGAGTGAAAGCAGGGAGACCAGTTAGGAGGCTTGTGCAGGAGTCGTAAGCAGTCAAGGCTTTGACCAGGGAAGTAGGAGTGGAGATATGGAGAGAAGTGGGTGGATTTGAGATACATTTGGGAGGATAGAGTTGAAAGAATTTTTTGATGGGTTGGAGTGGGGAAAATTGAGAAACATAGATTGTGATTGTATAAATTGTATACTTGTGTTCTTTCGTGAGATGTGGAGGGTGGGAGAGGAGCAGGTTTGGAGATCAGGGTGGGAATCTGAGGCTTAAGTTTAAAGTGCCTACTAAACATTCAAGTGGAGATGCTGAGAAGATTTGTTATGAAGGTTGATTCCAGAGAGAAGTTGGGCTGGAGATAGAGACAGGAAAATAGCCAGTGTGTATGGTTGACTTGAATCCGTGGGACTGGAGGAGATCATCTAGCAGTCTTTTTCAGTGCCCATTTCTTGAGGAAATTGGGCCCTAATGCCTAAATTATCCATTGTACGTAATTAGTACTTCTATGCTACTAGAATTGAGGAACGTTGGTGAGAATTGTTGCTAGGGTAATAGGATTTGGCCTAGAGCTGAATCCCTGGGATGCTCTAACATGTGGAATTTGGTCAGTCAAAGGAGCAAGCCTTGAGGTAGGAAGAAGCCAAGAAGAGAAAATGTTTCAAAGAGAAGGAAAGGGTCAAATGTGTGTAATGCTTATGTCAACGAAAATAATCCATAACCAATCTATAAATAAAAATTTGGGAGAGTTTATTCTGAGCTGAAATCTGAGGACCATGGCCTGGGGCCTTTCTTCCCGAAGGAAGAAAGGGCACCAAGGAAGTGAGGTATACAGAGTGGTTATATACCCCCATACAGGACATTTCACATGATTGAAATGTCCCTCCCACAAAAGTCACAAGATTGCCCTGCCCTGTTGGCACAGCGCTTGATGGACACAGCAGGTAGTGGGTCCGCTATCTTGGAGGGCGTAGCAGGAGGCAAGTCTATTGTCTTGAGCTGGGTGGTCACAGGTGAGCGCAGCAATCAGTTTCTAGCCTAAGAAAAGATGCTTAATCCTTAAAGAAATGCCGAAGGTTGGGAGGGGGAGGGAAGTTGCACCTTTATCTCAAGGGCCTTTGCTCTTGCCATAGGGAATATCTAAAGCAGATATACAATGCACGCTCAACAGCCTCTGTCAGGCCCTTTTGGAAAGACAAGGTCAGGCCGAATTAGGTTTACACAAAATGGCTTCCTCATATTCTCCAATATATGCTATTGCTTGCCATTTTTATTTGTCGCTTAAGAAATCCAAAGTGAGATACAAATGCACATGACCTTTGATTTTGGCACTGTGGGGGTAATTAGTGACTCTGATGAGTAGTCTCCTTGGAGTAGGGGGCTGGAAGCTAGATTTGAGTGGATTGAGGAACGAATGGGAGATGAGAAAGTGGAGATAGTAGCTTTGGACACACAGTCGTGTGCCAAATAATGACGTTTCGGTCAATGACGGACTGCATATACGGTGGTCCCGTAAGATTAGTATCATATAGCCCAGGGGTATAGTAGGCTATGCCATCTAGGTTTGACTAAGTACACCCTGATGTTCACACAGTAGTGAAATCACCTAACAATGCATTTCTCTGATCATGTCCCTGTTGTTAAGCAACACATGACTGTATATTGCTAATGATCCTTGACATTGTCCTTTTTCCAATCTAGTTGCTTTTATCTGTGGGTTAAAAACATGAAAATGATTATAATAATTCTGAGCTTCGCAGCATGTGGTAGGCATTGTTTAAAAAGAAACCCACACCAGAATTGTGAAAAATATGTAATAGTGTATCTTTTAAAAAGAAGAAATGAGAACCAACCTGATTAGTAACTTGCCTGGGGTCACAGTCAGTGGCCTTGGTAGTTTCAATGTCTTTGAAAGATAGTCTTGCCCATACCCTGGCCTTCTGTTCTTTAATCTCTCATCCAGTGATCTTTCCTTCTACTCTACCTCAAGTATTCAGTCCCATGGCTAGTAACTAGCTCTTATCATTACCAGTAATTGTAACTCACCCCGCCACCCCCACCCCGTAGTCTGTTTTTAGTATCTCACTTTACCTTCTCTCTTATTCCAACTCTAATGAGATCTATAATCCTTTTGATCTATACTTCTTTTCGCTGGCCCTCCCCTCATGTTATCACTTCCACCCTTGCCCAGCTAAAATAGAATCAGTGATTATAATCACTCCCTGCAAGGGTCAGCATAGCATGACTGTTGAAGCCTGGGTTTCAGTCCTGGCTGTACCACTTGCTATGTGACCTTGGGCAAGTTACCCAATTATATACCTGTTTCCTCATCTCTAAAATGTGGATACTCCCACTGGAAGTACTAACCTTGTAAGGTTGTTTTGAAGGTTATGTAAGTTTGAGATACTCCATATAGAGTGCTTCGAACGATGACAGTGCTTGGCAATATGGTCCCACACTCACTCCGTTGTTCTTGCATAGAAAACTCCAAATGTGATTAAATTCAATTCTATGTGCTTGCACCTGTGCAGCTAGAAGACAAACATAGCCACATTGACTTGTCTCACTTAAGTTCATGAACATTAACCTTAACTAGGCCCTTTATGCTGCCTGACAGTCATATATTTCACTCACTAGACCATTCACTCTTCTGCTTCCATAGGCAGATTTCATGTCATCTCCTCCTTATTTTCAGCTGATGACCCTAGATTTTAGATATTATTGAGATTATAGAAGCAGTCAGGACAGAACTTCTACAAGGTCCTACCAGAGCTACCTACCTGCCAGCTTCCTTTTCTTGTGGATAGCTATCTGTTGTGGATGGTGCTGTCTAAGGCCTGTCCCTCCACTTTTCCACTGTATCCTGTCCTCTGTCACCTGTGAAGGACATCACTCCATCAGTTCTCCCATTCTCCTCTGCATCATTGATTTTTCCATTTCTAGAGTATAGTACAAACATTCTCCCCATCTTAAAACCCTGCCATGTCTTCACATCCCTCTTTGGCTGCTGCCCCATTTCTCTGCTCCTTGCAGCAAAACTTGAGCAGCTCTTGATTCTGTTTACTTTTTTCCACATCTTGTTCTTTTTCAAATACATTGTACTATTCCTAAAGTAAAGGAAACTTTTCTCCCACTTTGTACTTGTCCTGTATCCTTGAGCACAGTACTTAAAAAAATCTCTTTTCTCATTAGTAAAAATGAGTAATAATTTACCTGCCTTCCTCATAAAGTTGGTGTGAAAATCAGGTGAGATCATGGATCTGAAAATTTCTACTGAATTGTGAAAATGAAATAAATTTATGCAATTTTTTAAACAAATCTGCTTTCATCACTTTTCTATTATTTTGATCGATGTTTTCATTATCCTTTCTAAGAAAAGGTTTGTGTGAATGAGGTGGTATTAGTATCTCAACTTGACATAATCAGCAGTTTCAAACAGTTTGTAAGAGCAATGTCCTGCCCTTTTTTAACTTGGAAATTGTGAGATTATTTGATAGGTAATGTATAACATTTCTGTTACTTTTTGAAAGAAATGTGCTAAATTTCAGCGTGCTGCAGCACTGGTCCATGCCGAAGGACACCACAGCATCTGCTCCCTGTAAGTGTGGATAAATGAATGCCTTGTGTAGTGTCTCAAAGAACTAATTTTATAACTGAATGACCTTTATGAACCCTTTAAACATTATGTAAACCTATTCCAGCAGAGGCAGTAGACTGACTACAGATGACTAATATGTATGATCAGGTCCTAGAGGCTTCAACAGAGAGATAAAGATTATACTCTCTCTCCCCCTCCTCCACACACTTCTGGTTGAATAGGTAGGTGATTTTTTTTCCCTAGTGTATTAGGGAGATCCATTCTCTGTTGGTATAGAAACTTTAAAAATTATGTGTATCTTGGGAGTTTCTACTTTTCTACTTAACTCAGTCTTCAAAGTCCTGTGTGTTTTTTGGTCTTGTTGAAATCATCCTGTTAGGAATATATTTTAGAATAGGATAGATTAAATTGGCATGCGTAGTTTGCCTTAGGAGCCTATGGACCATAGTTGCTGTGGGAAAAATGAATTCTGGATTTCAAGTTATATTTAAAATAGTAGGCTCTTGGATCCTAACCTTAATTTAAGGATTGATTGCCCTTGTTTACTGTATTCACTCAGTACTGTTTACTGTACTCAGTTATTTTTTTCAACAAAAAATATCTCTTGTGCTATATTTTTTCATTCCTTGGGTCCAGTGAGGATATTTTTTTCTGTTTGCACTGAAGTGGACTGACATCTTTATAATCAATTCTGTTTTTAGAATTAGCAGGAACCTACTTTTGGGGAGAAATTCAGGGACGACTACTTAGTGCCTGTGCCACTTTCTCAAATGGAGCGATACCACCCAAGGAACCAGAGAGGAAAAAGCTTTGCCCATAGTGAAAATCTAGGAAATCCTTCTGTCAACATATTTGGCTTTGGCACGCTCTCCTTTTGCTAATAATTGCCAAAATTTGGTTGCTCTTATTTTTTAATTTGTTAGGTTATGTATTAGAACTGCTGCCTTAGACTTTTTTTTTAATGAAATCTCAAAATTGCAGTGTTTTCTTGTGTAATATTAGTAAGCAATAGTTGGGGAGGTGCAGAGAGATTTTCTTCTTCTTTAAAACTATTGTTTTCCCTTAAATTACTAAAATAATCCAGGCTTATTATAGTAAATAAAGTATATTGAGTTAAAAAGCTTTAGGCCCCTGATCTAGGTAACCACTGTGGTCTCTGTACATGCCCTTGGTCATGTTTGTTTCTATGTATCTAAATGTAATACATGAACACAACTACATTGTGTATGTTTTTTAAAAAATCAATTGCTTAGCAACTGGCTTTTTTTTCCCTTGAGGATAATTGTAAATATTCCTTTCATCATTCATTCATATGTGCATGCGTTTAGTGAATACCTTGCTTACATAGTCATCATTCTTGTATTGCGTAGTATTCAAATGAATGCATGTGCAATAATGTATTTTACCTTTTTGCAATGCTGGATGTTTAGGGTTGTTTTTAGTGTTACAAAGAGTTGTGTAGTGCACATACTTTATGGATAGATCTTTGAAGTACTTCTGAGAGTATCTCTCTAGCATTGATTTCTGGATGTGGGATTGTTGGATCAAAGGCTGGCAGATTGGTTCAAAAACACCTGCATCAGTGCTCACAAATATCACCTTTATTTGTTCACAGATATCGACTGCCATATGAGTAACTAGCCTGGATTCAAATTTAGGCAGTTGGCCTCCACAGCCTGTGCACTTAATCTTCTGTTTCTATGCTTTTGTGTCCCCCTCAGAAAATGAGGATAATAATAATATCTGCCTATGTACTAGTTATCTATTACTGCATAACAAATTGCCTAAAACTTAGTGGCTTAAAACAACAATAAACTTTTATTATTTCATAGTTTCTGTGAGTCAGGAGTTCAGGGGTGGCTTAGCTCTGTGGTTCTGAAGGTTTCTCATTAGGTTGTGTTAAGGGCTGTAGTTATCTGAAGGCTTGACTGGCTGGAGGATTCCCTTCAGGCTTTACCACCTGGCTAGCAACTTAGTACTGGGTGTTGACTGGAGGCCTCAGTTCCTCCCCATGTGTTCCCCCCCACCCAGGCTGCTTGAGTGTCCCATGACACGGCAGCGGGAATCTCCCAATGTGAGTGATCCAAGAGAGCAAGACAGAAGCAATGGCCTTATAAACCAGCCACGTCGACTGTGTTTAATATTAGATATTGAGTATGTTTTTGTTTCAGAATTCACAGTTTTATAAGAGGGAAGTATTTGGCTAGGAAAAAAGTTTGATTTCTTGAGTATTGCTATGCTTTAGCTCTAGTTGAGTCAGATGTTCAACTCCTGTTCTTTATCTAGGAGGATAAGCAACAAAAGGAAAGCTTAGTCCTGGCTTCTTGTTTATTAGTCTTGGATAAGATAGGCCTGGTTGTTTACTGGGACTGTAGTGCTCAGTTTAGATCTATCCTGTGGAGATGACTTATTGGAATGGGAGTGCTGGCACAAGGCTGAGCAGTTAGAGGAGTCATGACTATATCCATTGCCGGTCATGACCTTCTCAAGAGAAACCTTGTGCAGGGTTGCTGCCACTTCCTTCTTTGCAGCACCCAGAAAGAAGGCCCTTCTTTGTAAGCTGTTATAAAGTGTGCTCGATTGGGAAAGGGAAGGTTTAGACAAACTAGAAACTATCCTTCAGCAAATACATTGTGGTTGAAATACCTATAGGACATCCAGTGAAGGTGTCCAGTAGAGAGATGGGTATGCGTAACTGAAGGTGAGGAGAGAGCTGGGGGATACAGATGGCATCTGGATGGTTATTAAAACTACGAGTGGATGAGATGGATTATCCTGGAAGTTTTGTGCAGAAGAAAAGGCAACCTTGGGCATAACCCTGAGTAACACTTAAAGGGCTAGCCAAGGAAGAGGATTTCACAGAGGAGTGAACAGAGAGATAGGAGGACAGCCGGAAAAATATGGCCTTATGGAAGCAAAAGGAAGACAATGTGAAAATGAGAGACAGGTCAGTACTGTCAAATGTGACAGAGAGGTCAAGTAAGATAGAGAAGGACTAGGAAGTGTCTGGTTATGATAGTGCCGAATTCAGTGATACTGGTAAGAGCAGTCTTAATGGAATTGTGGGAGTTGGCACGACTGGAGAAAATATGCAGCGAAATGAGAATAAAGTCCATGCTTCTGTTTATCAGTGCTGTATTGCACTCTTGAGAAAATAGGTGTGAGGTTATAAGTAAGTGAAGAGAATATGTAGTTAATTTTTTGAAAAATGCTTGAGGGGCTGGCCCCTTGGCCGAGTAGTTAAGTTTGCCGCTCTGCTTTGTTGGCCCGGGGTTTCGATGGTTCAGATCCTGGGTGCAGACTTAGCACTGCTATCAGGCCACGCTGAGGCGGCGTCCCACATAGCACAGCCAGAAAGACCTACAACTAGAATATACATCTATGTACCGGGGGGGGGGGCGCTTTGGGGAGGAGAGGAAAAAAAGGAAGATTGGCAACAGATGTTAGCTCAGGTGCCAACCTTTTAAAAAAAAAAAAAAAGAAAAATGCTTCAGACTAGGGGGAAGAGAGTATAGCTGGCAGGAAACAAGGGGTTGTGAAGTTTTTTTTGTTTTGTTTTTAAGATGATAGAGAATTGGACCTGTTTAAGTGTGAATAGAAATGAACTGACCTAACCTTTTAAATATATATATTTTATGGGTGCTGGGAATGAAAATACAGTTTCTGTTAGATAGAAACTAATATATATATATATATATATATATGTATATATTTATCAATTAAATCTGTCTTAATTGCCTGATTCATTCTGACCTGTCAAGGAGTAAATTCCTGCTTGTTTCTTTTACTTTTTGGCTCATATATTTCTTCTTTTTATTTCCTTTTTTCTTCATGTATTTCTATGCTACATTAATTTACTTATTCAGCAAGTGATAATTGAGTTACCCCTATGTACTAAACCACTATGTACTGTTCTGAGAACTGGATTGACTCAGAGTGATTCATGTGGTCTATAATTCATTTGTGATTTTTCACCAAGTAATCACAGTTGTAAATATTGCATCTCTTCTCCCTCTCTAAGCAAAAAAGTGTGAAAGGAAATTTATCATTCACCACAGAGTGCTCTGACCATGCTTTGCTACTGCTCACTTGACTTTGGGCAAGTCATTTAGCATGTAAGATAGCGGTTTTCAAACTTTTGGTTCTCAGGGCCCCTTTACACTTAGAAGTTATTGAGGACTCCAAAATAACTTTTGTCTGTGTGCTTGTATTTATTGATATTTACCATATTAGAAGTTAAAACTCAGAAATTTTTTGTGTTCAGTTAAAAATAATAACCCATTAAATGTTATAATCAATATATTTTAGTATGAAAAATTATTTTCCAAAACAACAAAAAGCAGTAAGAAGACTGACATTGTTTTACTTGTTTTGCACATCTCTTTAATATTTGGCTTTAATAGAAGATAGCTGGATTCTCATCTGCCTCTGCATTCAGCCTTTTGTGATATCACATGCTCTGTATCCTGTGGAAAACTCAGAACTGTATACTTGTGAGAAAAGGCAAATGATGTCTTTTGATCGTGCAGATGACCTAACAGGGCTCCCTGGACCACACACACCTGGAGAATCTCTGCTCTAGTAGCAATAGAGGGGTACTAGATGGTCTTTAAAGGCTACTATAGGTCGGAAATTGAGATCGTGTCTTTTATTTCCCACTCTTATAAAGTGCTAACGGAATGTATAGGTAAAATCAGAACTGTCATAAATGGTATTTAAAGCAGGGACAAACCGTAGAGTTGTTAGAGAAGTTGTGGACTCTTTGTGCTGTTTCAAACTGACCTCACCTAGCATAGAGTTTACCATCTAATAGAGTAACAATGTACTAAATTGGATATAGACATGGAATTTATATCCTCAGTTTGTTGAGATCAGATTTTCTGAGCGCTTTTTTAAAAAGTTGTTACTTATGTTAGTCTTACTTTTGAAATTCAGAGCAGCAGAAAATGGTTGAGATTTTTGTAATGGCTTTCCGCTTTGGGGAACATCAGACTAGCAGTGATGCCACTGACCTATTTCAGGAAGATCAGTGTAGAAAGGGTGATTTATCTGGATGGTATTTGCACAGTATACTGGGTTCTAAAGCTTAGAGTCAGAAGAGCTGGTTATGGGTTTCAGCTACTACTTAGTAGCAATGTGATTTGGGGAAGAAATTTAACCTCTTTATTTCTGTTTCCTCATCTATAAAATTGAGTGGACGATATTCCCATTTGTCCCAGAGTTTTGAGGATTATGTGAAATTGTGTTTGTTAATGTACTTGAATCTATATAAACATTACTATCTTTTTTTTTTGGAAGAATATGCCATCACTTTGTAATTGTACAAAGGAACCCTCTCTTTGTATCCCTTTCTGTCAGACAGTTTTTCACTGAGCTTTTCATAAAGCTCAGAACTATCAATTTAGACAATTTTCAGAAGTATCCTGGGAAGTAGAATTTTCCCCCTTGATTCTTGTGCCTTTAAAGTGATGAAACTAGTTCCATTATGTCTCCTTGCCTTTTTTACTCCTATGCCACTCTACTGTCTGATCAGTTTCAGAAGTTGATTGGACTCGTTTTCTAAATACTTCATAATGAGCCTATTTTTGCATAATTTTAGTAATCGAAGAGACCATAAAGATCATCTGTTTTAGTCCTTCTTACTTTACAGGTGAAACTGATGCTAAGATAAGCCAAGCCACTTGTTTAAGATCATTTAAGTAGAACACTGGTTCTCAGCCTTGGCTGAACTTTGGAACCACCTGTAATGCTTTGTAAAAATACTAACGTCCAGGGGCCAGCCCGGTGGCACAGCAGTTAAGTTCCCATCTTCTGCTTCGGTGGCCCGGCGTTCGCCGGTTCACATCCCGGGTGCGGACGTGACACTGCTTGGCAAGCCATGCTGTGGTAGGCGTCCCACATATAAAGTGGAGGAAGATGGGCACGGATGTTAGCTCAGGGCCAGTCTTCCTCAGCAAAAAGAGGAGGATTGGGAGCAGTTAGTTTACTTTTTTTTTTTTTGGAGGAAGATTAGCCCTGAGCTAACATCTGTGCCATCTTCCTGTGCTTTATGTGTGGGATGCCTACCACAGCATGGCTTAACAAGCGGTGCATATATCTGTACCCAGGTTTCAAACCTGCGAACCCTGCACCACTAGTCCAGCCCCTCTACACACTTTTAAAGTGAATCATTTGCCTTTTAACATTCACATTTAACTTTTGTTATTGTAGATGAGACCATTTTATTTCTTAGACCTTTTATATTAAAGAGGTTTATTTTCTTTATGGGAAGTAAGCCCAACTTTTTAGTGAGAATCAAAGCTTTTTGATGTGAAGTCTTTATTTTGAATAGATTTATCAAATCAACTGGTGAAGTTTTTTTTAAATCTATGTGTATTTAACACATGGTGGTAAAACAAAGTTTATACCTATCATACCTAATAATAGAGGTTAATAATGAATCTCTTGATATAATGTTAGAAAGACATGATCTCAGGTTTTTGGAAGCATTAATTAAAATGTATAAAAATTTTATCTTGCATCTTTTATTCAGATTCTAGATTGTCATTTGTTGTTTAGAGTTTTTAAAAAAGAATCTTTATTTTTCCTATAGGTGAAAGCACTGAAGGAGAAGATCGAGTCTGAAAAGGGGAAAGATGCCTTTCCTGTAGCAGGTCAAAAATTAATTTATGCAGGTATGAATTAAATACTGAAATTAGGATGCCATTTTATTGTTTATGGTGACATTCTTTTAGTTTTAGAAATTATCATCTTACAAATTGTAGTGTATACAAATTGATTCTATCAGAAATATGATTGTACAGATAGAAGCAGTGAACAAGTAGTCGTTTGAATGTAATTCAATCTTCTCTTTAAATAAAATAGCAAAATTGACTGAAGAATATAGAAAACGTTATGTGTCAAAAGACACAAATAAGTGACAGGAAAAGAAAAGATTAATATTCACATTATATAAAAAGCTCTTAAAAATTAGGGGAGAATGGCCCCATAACAAAATCAGCAAAGGATATGAATAGGAAATTGCAAATTTAAGTAGCTTTACTAGTAACCAGGAAAATGTGTGTTAAAATAGACTTCATTTGTGAATTTTGTGGGGAAAATTCTTCTGTTTGTTCTTCAAAAGAAATACTGAACGCTGTGATTGTAGGTGACAGTAGGGTGGATCTTGAATTGCCCGTGGTTTCTCATCTCTTCCTAGATAATGGATTTTGTAGTATTTTCTTAACTGAGATGGTTTAGAGGAAACACTAACGCCATGATTAGGAATCAGAAGCCTAAAGAGGAAGACAGAAAACTAGAATTTCTGGTTCCTAGTCTTAGCCTGTTTACTTATTTCTATACAGAGTAAGAACTCTGTTCCTGTCTTAATGCTTGCAGCTTTTGATTCAATGACTTTTTAAAAATGGAAAACTAAATTCAAGGGAAAGGAAACCTGAGGGAATCCTCATCTAACACTTGACCTTCAACATGACCAGTCTTGTGTACTCTTTTGTGCTTTATTCAGTTCTGTACCGTCTGGCCTTTTGTTGTGTACCAAGTCATTTTCTGAAGTACTTTTGATTATGAATATCTCGCTTTCATAGCATTGGAACATTCCTGTTTTGCCAGATACTCGGTATTTGTGGCAGCAGGAAGTTTGTTATTTTCTCCTTCCTCTTATCAGGAAGGATTATGGATTATTCCCCAGGGGGATCCCTGGGCAATTGCAGTATTGAATTTTATTTGTCTTCATGATCTCCCCTTTCTCAGGACCTAGTTAATGTTTCCTTACCCAGCACGTCTTTTTTTTATAAGTAATAATTTTGAAGAATTGCTTGGGATATCTATATACAGTGTATGTTTGATATCTTAGTCAAATGCTTATGCCTTCTTCACTAGTCATGTTTCTATTTCCATTTATCTTTATCTTGGCTGATTGGTTAATGTTTTTCTTTGGGGAAAGTGTTGACTAATAGAATTGCCATTGGTGATTGTTTTAA